ATTGCACTACTGGGTATTTACCCCAAAGATACAAAAGTAGGGATCCGAAGGGCTACGTGCACCCCGATGTTTATAGCAGCCATGTCCACAATAGTCAAACTGTGGAAAGAGCCAAGATGTCCATCGACAGATGAATGGATAAAGAAGAGGTGGTATATATATACAATGGAATATTATGCAGCCATCAAAAGGAATGAGATCTTGCCATTTGCAACCATGTGGATGGAACTGGAGGGTATTATGTTGAGTGAAATAAGTCAAACAGAGAAAGACATGTATCATATCATCTCACTGATATGAGGAATTCTTAATCGCAGGAAACAAACTGAGTGTTGTTGGAGTGGGGGGTGGGGTGGGAGGGATGGGGTGACTGGGTGATGGACACTGGGGAGGGTGTGTGCTCTGGTAAGCGCTGTGAATTGTGCAAGACTGTTGAATCTCAGATCTGTACCTCTGAAACAAATAATGCAATATATGTTAAGAAAAAAAGAAGAAGAAGAAGGTAGCGGGAGGGGAAGAATGAAGCGGGGGAAATCGGAGGAGTAGACGAACCATGAGAGACGAAAGACTCTGAAAAACAAACTGAGGGTTCTAGAGGGGAGGGGGGTGGGAGGATGGGTTAGCCTGGTGGTGGGTATTGAGGAGGGCACATTCTGCATGGAGCACTGGGTGTTGTGCACAAACAATGAATCATGGAACACTTCATCTAAAACTAATGATGTAATGTATGGGGATTAACATAAGAATAAAATTTAAAAAAAAAAAGAACATATTATGAGCAACTCTATGCTAGCAAATTAGATAATCTGGAAGAAATGGATGCATTCTAGAGAGGTATCAACTACCAAAACTGAACCAGGAAGAAACAGAAAACCTGAACAGACCTACAACCACTAAGGAAATTGAAGCAGTCATCAAAAATCTCCCAAAAAACAAAAGCCCAGGGCTAGATGGCTTCCCAGGGGAATTCTGCCAAACATTTAAAGAAGAAATAATACCTATTCGTCTGAAACTGTTCCAAAACATAGAAATCGAAGGAAAACTTCCAAACTCATTTTATGAGACCACCATTACCTTGATCCCAAAACCAAAGACCCCATCAAAAAGGAGAACTACAGACGAATATCCCTGATGAACATGGATGCAAAAATTCTCACCAAAATACTAGCCAATAGGGTCCAATAGTCCATTAAAAGGCTTATTCACCATGACCAAGTGGGATTTATCTATGGGCTGCAAGGTTGGCTCAACATCCGCAAATCAATCAACGTGATACAATACATTAACAAAAGAAAGAACAAGAATCATATGATCCTCTCAATAGATGCAGAAAAAGCTTTTGACAAAGTACAGCATCCTTTCTTGATCAAAACTCTTCAGAGTATAGGGATAGAGGGTACATACCTCAATATCATAAAAGCCATCTATGAAAAACCCACAGTGAATATCATTCTCAATGGGGAAAAACTGAGAGCTTTCCCCCTAAGGTCAGGAACGCAGCAGGGATGTCCACTATCACCACTGCTATTCAACATAGTATTAGAAGTCCTAGCCACAGCAATCAGACAACAAAAAGAAATCAAAGGCATCCAAATTGGCAAAGAAGAAGTCAAACTCTCACTCTTTGCAGATGATATGATACTTTATGTGGAAAACCCAAAAGACTCCACCCCAAAACTGCTAGAACTCATACAGGAATTCAGTAAAGTGGCAGGATATAAAATCAATGCACAGAAATCAGTGCCATTCTTATACACCCACAACAAGACAGAAGAAAAAGAAATTAAGGAGTTGATCCCATTTACAATGGCACCCAAAACCATAAGATACCTAGGCATAAATCTAACCAAAGAGGCAAAGGATCTGTACTCAGAAAACTATAAAATACTCATGAAAGAAATTGAGGAACACACAAAGAAATGGAAAAACGTTCCATGCTCATGGATTGGAAGAACAAATATTGTGAAGATGTCAATGCTACCTAGAGCAGTCTACACATTCAATGCAATCCCCATCAAAATACCATCCACTTTTTTCAAAGAAATGGAACAAATCATCCTAAAATTTGTATGGAACCAGAAAAGACCCTCAATAGCCAGAGGAATGTTGAAAAAGAAAAGCAAAGTTGGTGGCATCACAATTCCGGACTTCCAGCTCTATTACAAAGCTGTCATCATCAAGACAGTATGGTACTGGCACAAAAACAGACACATAGATCAATGGAACAGAATAGAGAGCCCAGAAATGGACTCTCAACTCTATTTTCAACTAATCTTTGACAAAGCAGGAAAGAATGTCCAATGGAAAAAGACAGTCTTGGGCGCCTGGGTGGCTCAGTTGGTTAAGCGACTGCCTTCAGCTCAGTTCATGATCCTGGAGTCCCTGGATCGAGTCCCGCATCGGGCTCCCTGCTCAGCGGGGAGTCTGCTTCTCCCTCTGACCCTCCCCCCTCTCATGTGCTCTCTCTCTCTCCTCTCATCCTCTCTCTCAAAAAAAAAAAAAAATCTTTAAAAAAAAAATAAGAAAAAAGACAGTCTCTTCAACAAATGGTGTGGGGAAAATTGGACAGCCACGTGCAGAAGAATGAAACTGGACCATTTCTTTACACCACACACAAAAATAGACTCCAAATGGTTGAAAGACCTAAATGTGAGACAGGAGTCCATCAACATCCTAAAGGAGAATATAGGCAGCAACCTCTTCGACCTCAGCTGCAGCAACTTCTTCCTAGAAACATTGCCAAAGGCAAGGGAAGCAAGGGCAAAAATGAACTCTTGGGACTTCATCAAGATAAAAAGCCTTTGCACAGCAAAAGAAACAGTCAACAAAACCAAAAGACAACTGACAGAATGGGAGAAGATATTTGCAAATGACATAGCAGATAAAGGGCTAGTATCCAAAATCTATAAAGGACTTATCAAACTCAACACCCAAAGAACAAATGATCCAGTCAAGAAATGGGCAGAAGACACGAACAGACATTTTTCCAAAGAAGACATCCAAATGGCCAACAGACACATGAAAAAGTGCTCAATATCGCTCGGCATCAGGGAAATCCAAATCAAAACCTCAATGAGATACCACCTCACACCAGTCAGAATGGCTAAAATTAACAAGTCAGGAAACGACAGATGCTGGCGGGATGCGGAGAAAGGGGAACCCTCCTCCACTGTTGGTGGGAATGCAAGCTGGTGCAACCACTCTGGAAAACAGTATGGAGGTTCCTCAAAAAGTTGAAAATAGAGCTACCATACGACCCAGCAATTGCACTACTGGGTATTTACCCCAAAGATACAAATGTAGGGATCTGAAGGGGTACGTGCACCCCAATGTTTATAGCAGCAATGTCCACAATAGCCAAACTGTGCAAAGAGCCAAGATGTCCATCGACAGATGAATGAATAAAGAAGAAGTGGTATATATATTGTGCATCCATCAAAAGGAATGAGATCTTGCCATTTGTAATGACATGGATGGAACTGGAGGGTGTTATGCTGAGCGAAATAAGTCAATCCGAGAAAGACATGTATCATATGACCTCACTGATATGAGGAATTCTTAATCTCAGGAAACAAACTGAGTGTTGCTGGAGTGGGTGGTGGGGTGGGAGCGATGGGGTGGCTGGGTGATAGACATTGGGGAGGGTATGTGCTATGGTGAGCACTGTGAATTGTGCAAGACTGTTGAATCACAGATCTGTACCTCTGAAACAAATAATGCAATATATGTTAAGAAAAAAAAAAAGAAGATAGCAGGAGGGGAAGAATGAAGGGGGGGAATCGGTGGGGGACATGAACCATGAGAGACGATGGACTCTGAAAAACAAACTGAGGGTTCTAGAGGGGAGGGGGGTGGGAGGATGGGTTAGCCTGGTGATGGGTATTAAAGAGGGCACGTTCTGCATGGAGCACTGGGTGTTATGCACAAACAATGAATCATGGAACACTACATCAAAAACTAATGATGTAATGTATGGTGATTTACATAAAAATAAAAAATTTTTTAAAAAAAATTAAAGACAAAAATCATCTATAACATGGCCTTTGAGCCTCTGAATGATCTGGCCCCTGCTGCCCATCCTTGTGTTGCCCCCCACCACCACTGCTGCCCATCCTCACTCTATTCCCACTGCACTAGCCCCCTCTCTCTGTCCCTCCTGTCACAAAGTTCTAGCACTTGGCCTTTGGCCCTAGGGAACTGCTCATCCCACTTGAACCACCTTCACTTCTTCCTTCAGCCCTCTTCCCATCTCACAACTATGTCAAACCCATCTATTTTATGTTCCAATATATTCCCTTTTTTTTTAGCATTTATTACTGATACCATTTTAAATATGTTTATGTGATTATGTGATCATTGCCTGTCTTCCCCCACCCTGGATGCTATACTGCATGAAGGTGGGAGCCTTATGTCTGGCTTTACTCACCATGGTTCACCACTGAGTAATTGTGCCTGAAATAGAGTAGGTACACTATGAAACAAATACTATTTTGTCTTAACAAAATGAGTAGATTTGAATTTATGCTCACCACTTGTGACATAATTTTGCGGTCTTCCTTTTTAGTAGCTTCCATATTGGGCAAGTTTCCATACAGGCAGCAGCGTTTTACCCCAAATAAAGATCTCAACACAGGAATCCAAGGGAAGGCTTGGAATGCTACCTATATCAATGACCTCTATTTTCCCTGAGAGGATTTAAAATTACCAACAGGTTGGGAGAGCCAAGGTGTGCCAGAGAAAGACCTGTTAACTGCATTAGGAATTCATCCTTCCACAGTTAGTTTGCCTTGTGAGTTAATCCCCTCTCAGATAATATAAGGATTTCAGACTATCTTACAATATTGATTTTTTTTTTTTTTGGCCTCTCTGAAAAGAGCCAAATTTTTTATGGCTTGGAAATGTTTTTGTCTGTTTGTTTTTTAGCTTAGCATAACTTAACTTCAAACTATAACATTTAAGTTGGAGAAGCTAAATGCACAAAAAGAGTGTACCTGACATACCTACCCCAGGAGTATCTCTTCATGGAATCACGGCGTCCTAAGAGTGGAATGGACCTAAGAGAGAGCATAACCCATCCTCTTTCATGCTCACAACTCCGAGTCATTCCGTGCCTCTCACTGGTGTGTTCCCTGGAGCCAGGGCAATCCGTTACACATAGTTTAAGGGAATTTGGAGCAGAATTTCATGACATTTCTGTGATGAAAGAGCAAAGAAAGTTGTGTCTCTCCACAAAGGTCTAGAGAAATAGGAAGGGGTGGTACAAAAAAAGCGAGGATATGTGGGAACAGGACTTGGAGAATGAATAACAGGAAAAGGAAGAACTAGAGAAAATAGAGAAAATGAAAAAACAATAAAAACCAAATTCTGGAAGCATGCACAAATTGAGATAGCCCAGGGTATGAGTCAGAAAAGCCTTGCTAAAAAAAAAAGAAAAAAAGCCAACCAAAGGAAAATTAGAATGGGTTTGCTGTTTCTGTTGTTATTATTCTCTTACAAACAGAAGCTTACAGTTACTAAACAAGGCAAAAATTAGAGTTGTTATAATGTACTGTATGTCTGTGGCTAAATTTTTTGAGGCAAAATACAGTAATCCGAGGGTATATGCAAATCAGATAAAAAGATTCAAGATGCAAAATAAAGCATACCTTATATTTATTTTTAAAGAAACTACATTGAGCAGCTAAGAATATTCCCTCCAAAATGCTTAATTTTTCCTTCTCTTCACCAGCTTCCTCACAGTGTGTTCACCCACACACCCTGATGTTAGTGGCACATAAATCAAAACTTTCATAAAAATCAGAACTAAAAAATATATGAGCACAGAAGTTTCCTGATATGGCAAGACTCCAATCCACATATAGTCCTGAGTCAGCTCCACTAACATTAAGGATCCAGTTTGTTCTTAGTACAGTAATGGGGAGGGTGCTACCAGCCTTAATTTATATGTACTCATGTACTCTCTGTAAGGAGCAAGATGTCTCTAACAGATTACTTTGGAATTGTCATATGAGATACTGCTGCAAGGTGTATAAAGTCTTCCTGACTAACCAATTTTCAACCAGGCAGTGCCTGAAGTATCAGAATATTTGGAAAATTGTCTCGGTGTATCTGTGACCAACAGCAGTGTAAGGAAAGGATGTATCATTGCATGGGTGTGACATCTATAGTAGGGAAACCATCTCTTAGGACAAGAAACTTGTATGCAATACAGGACACTCTACACCTGAGGAAGATCTAATGCTCATCAACAATAAAGCAAATAGAGGTTATCTCCAAAAAACAAACAAAAACTCTTTGAAAGGGACAAGCTGCAGATCATATAGAATCATCTTAGCAAAAAAAAAAAAAAAAAAAAGCCAAAAAGGAGGCACAGTAACTCCCTTTCTGCCAAAGACTAACTCCCTGGGAGGGGCTCCCAGAGCGGTCTTCAAGTCTGTTGACTTGTTTTTTCAAGCCCTTAATGTAACTTGCAGCTACATTGGTTTGTTTTGTTGTTGTGACATGGTCTCCATAGATGTGCATTGAAATTGTGCCCAGCTGCACTGAAGCCAAGAACCATGCAATCTGGAGGTTGTGCAAGCAAGATTACAAGGCTCCAAGGTATCCAGTGCCTGGGCTGCTCATCTCTTCTGCTTACCTCGAAGCTTGGCTTGTCCAAATGGGGCAACAAATGATGCATTGGGACCAGATCCAAATGCTTTAAGATAGTGACTACATTTGCAGAGAAGAAATAGAGATTTATCTTGACATAGGGCTTTATTTGCATGTCTAAGGGAATGGTCAGTGACCAGCAGGACCAGTTAAAGTGTCTGATTATTTTTATTTATTTTTTATTTATTTTTTGTGTGTGTGTGCCTGATTATTTTTAGTTGCCCCCTTTCCTTTCTCTACGTAGCCCAGTTTGGTCATTTTTATTCCTCTCAGGAGTCTATTACCCTCATGTTTTCTTCATCTCCCATCCCTCTCAAGAAATAACTCGATCAGCTCATTCACATGAGACTTAGCAAATAAAATACAGGACATCCAGTTGAATTTTAATTTTAGATAACCCACAAGTAATTTTTAGTATAACTATATCCTGTGCAACATTTGGAACCTACTTAAAGTAAAATTGTACTTACACTAAAATTAGCCATTTTTTATTTGAAATTCAAACTTAACTGGTTGTCCTGTATTTTATGTAGCAACTCTACACTAAAGAGTAAATGACTCATGATGTCTTTACTTCTCCCAAGGATACTGACTTAATTTTAACTTAATTTTAACTCCCAAAGCTTAAACCAATTAATAATTAGGATTTTTTAGCAACAAACTACAAGAAAGATATATGATATATGGTAAGCAATCACTTATTATGCCCAGCCTTGAGGAGTTACCTTTTTTGAAATTGGAAAAGATCATAATCCAGAGACAGAAAGCATAGTTTGATTCTTATCCGCTTGGACTTAAGGCTACTGATCAACATTTAGTTCAAATCAGACAATATGATTGTTTATGTTAATTGATGGTCTATTCTTCTAGACGTCAAAGATACAAGCCCCTCCCCCAAAATATCTAGTCCCATAGCATCTTGCATGGCTAGAGATACAGGTGGTGTTAGTTGAGTATCCTAAGGCCTCAGCTCACACTCCATCAGTGAAGACTTTTTTACATGTCATGTCTATTGACAAAGCCAACTATGAAATACATACTCTTCAAGTCCTCAGAAAACCTATAGTTAGGGTCAGGGAAAGAAGACTTGTGAAAAGAATCATAATCAAAGAGGGGTGCCTGGGTGGCTCAGTCATTGGGCGTCTGCCTTCGGCTCGAGTCATGATCCCAGGGTCCTGGGATGGAGCCCCACACTGGGCTCCCTGCTCAGGAGGAAGCCTGCTTCTCCCTCTCCCACTCTCCCTGCTTGTATTCCCTCTCTTGCTGTGTCTCTCTCTGTCAAATAAATAAACAAAATCTTAAAAAAAAAATGGTAATCAAAGAAAAAAAAAGAGGAGAATGGAATTAAAGAAAGAAGAAAATTAATTCGATCTAAAAAAAAGGTAAAAAAGGAGTGAAGAGGACATCTCAGCCAACCCAATTACCTAGAATAGGTGGTTGCCTAGTGGTGTGAGTAAAGGATCTCCAAGAAGAACCCTAGAGATGAACTCATTTAACATCCACTCCAACTTCCTTCTGGAATGTTTTCCTGTGTATTACAGGAGGCTGGTAAACCAAAAACTGCTTTCTGCTTTTTTCCATGGCTTCCTTGTAACTAGAGTTCTGGGTGCAGTGTAGGCTCCATCATCAGATTCACTTTCAGAATGGGAATGGAGAGTGAGTGAAACGAGAGAGGCTGGACATGAGGCATCCTCTGCTCCTGAAGATGGAGTGTTAACTCCCCAGTTTAGCAGAAGTGGCTTCCCAACCACAGCTTCTCCATTTGACAGGCAGTGTCCAGATCAAGGCAAGCACAGCAGTTCCTTTGATGGCTCAGTTGTGGTGTGGCTTTGGGATTCATTTCTGGAAGCTCACCAGCCTAGAGTCTGTTTCTTCAGCCCACAGACCAGTTCTGTAGAACACTGAATACCCCGTCATTAATACATGTCAGCTTAAGCTAGCTAGAGTGGGGTCTGTTCTCTGCAACTGAACACTAACTGATACAAGCTGCTGCTCCCAAAATATCTTTTTCACTAGCCTAATGGTTCTCAACTGGGGATAATTCTGTCCCCTGCCTAGAGGATACTTGGCAATGTTCGGAGATATTTTGGTTATAACAACTAGAAGGCGAGGATACTATTGGCATCTAGTCGGTAGAAGTCAGAGATGCTGCTAAACATCCAGCAATGCACAGGGCAGCCCCCCACAACAAAGACTTATCTAATCCAAAATGTCCGTAGTGCTGAGATTGAGAAACACTTCCCTAGCCCAGAATACCATTTGAAAATTGATCATTAAAAAGACAATATTTGGGGCACCTGGGTGGTTCAGTTGGTTAAGCATCCAACTCTTGATTTTGGTTCAGGCCATGATCTCGGGGTCCTGGGTTAGAGCCCCACATTGGGCTCTCTGTTCAGCGCAGTCTGCTCGGGATTCTCCCTCTCCCTCTGCCCCTCCCCCTTCTTGTGCTCTATCTCTCTAAAATAAATAAGTAAAATCTTTTTTTTAAAAGGCAATATTTTCAATATTTTAGTTGAAAAAGTACCTTTTTCACAGTGCAAATAGCTCAAAAAATTACAGGTAAATATTTGCTGTCATACAATACTGTATTAAAAATGATGTTCTCCCCCGCCCCTCGGGGCGGGGCCTGGCGGATGCCTCCTTAGCCGGAGCTTGGAACAGACTCACGGCCGGCAAAGTGAGTTCAATGGCTGAGGTGAGGTACCCTCCCCGGGAGCCTCATAACCCAATTCAAAAATGATGTTCTCTTTATTCTGTGATTGTCAGATTTTAATATTTCTGAAAGCATGCCATGACCTAAAATTAAGGTGTGCTTTTAATGTGGTGATATTTATTTCTTGTTCTTTTTTTTTTTAATAAAAAAACTGTTATTAAATCTATGGTATATGTTACAACTTAACATGTCATGTTTATTGACAAAGCCAAGTATGAAATATATATTCTTCAGGTCCTCAGAAAACCTAAGTTAGGGTCAGGGAAAAAGAAGACTTGTGAAAAGAATGGTAATCAAAGAGAAAATAAGGAGGAGAATGGAGTAAAAGAAAGAAGAAAAATCAACTCCATCTAAAAAATGTAAATAAGGAGTGAAGAGGACACCTGGGCCACCCCAATTACCTAGGATAGGTGGTTGCTCAGTGGAGTTCTTGCCTAGTTCTGAAATCAAAGAACTAGGATAATGTAAGCAACGTACTTTCCTGAGGGCAAGTTTGCCAAATTGTACATAGAGAATTGCTAATAGTGGGCAAGGGGCACCGTAGCCTCAACCCCAGCTGCACAATAGAATCACTACAGTGCTTTTCACTGGTTTGGGTGTGAGGCCCAGCCATCATTGTTTTTTCAATCCTGTTTGCAACCAGAGTCAAGAACCACTAATTTAGGGGCAACTCAATGGCTCAGTCTGTTAAGTGTCTGACTCTTGATTTTGGCTCAGGTCATGATCTCAAGGCCATGAGATCAACCCCTGCGTTGGCCTCCACCCTCAGTGGGGAGTCTGCTTGAAATTCTCTCCCTCTCCACTCTGCCCCTCCCCCTTCTCATGAGCTCTCTCTCCCTAAAATAAATAAATAAAATATTTTTTTTAAAAAGAACCACTAATTAAGAGCATCTTGGAAAACGAAGATGGAAAAAATGGAGGAAAAGGAGTACCACTGTGAGAAAAGATGAGCAAAAGTGATGGCACATAACCAGACACACTGTAGAACCTTACTCTTCTACCCAGGACCAGAC